TTTTTTTTGCAAAACAAGTTAAGCCACAGAGTAGAGAATCAAGCATTGAAATCTGTGATCTCGCCTTGCTCTTCCATCGGTCAGTCCTCTGGCTGAAGAACTGCTTCCTTATAGGTCAGACATTTTAACTAGACTTCCTCTGGTCTGCACCACACTTTAGAATAACTTAAGCAGCTTTGTAACACAGTGTTATTGTATGTATGTACACAGTGAAATGGCTACTACAGTCAAGTTAATGTAGCCAACATCTCACACAGTTACCCCTTTTTTTCATGTGTGATAAGCATTTAAAGTCTGATGTTAGCACGTTTGCAGAACAGAACACATAGTGCTGTCTTCATTCTGTACATTAGAGCTCTAGGTTTATTCATCCTCCAGAACTCTTGTCATTTTGGACCCTTGAACACTGCCCTCTCCTAACTGAACTCTCTTCTACCGTCTGTCCTATGTATTCATTCTCTTTTTTTAGTTAGGATCGCTTTTTAACTCTTCTTCATAGAGTAAGTGGTAGAGTTAGTCTGTGTGAATGTATTCAGGTTTTCAGCAGGTTATAAGATGCAGCCATGTACCGACTATAGTGAAACGATCCTTATACCTAAGAGGCGCTATACTGAGGTGGTTAGGCCCCACAGTCACCAACTGAGTTTAAGTTCTGATTATGCTACTTAGGCTACTTGTGACTGTGTTGTAAGACTTGCAGTGGTAGAGAATAAATCTGATGTGATGGAGGCAGCCTTGTGCATTTGGTGACTCTTGTATTTGCCAGAATCTGACCCAGTTACACCACTCACAAATAATCCTGATAGCCCTTCCTTCAGTAAGTACTACAAATGACATTTTGCAGGTCAGGCAGCAGCAGCTTAAAGTAGTTTGGCCGATCACATAGCTAATAGGTAAAGGAACCAGGATGTAAATCCATATAAATTTATGGTCTGTAGTCTTTGAAATCAGATATGTATCCTGAGGGGAAAATAAGGCTCTGAAATCCTCATCGGGCTGTCAGGTGTCTCAGAAGTGATGTGTTCTGTGAGAGATGAACTCGGTGTTAGGGACCATTTTAGAACAACTTTTCAGGTGGAGAGGACAGATGACAGATATAGGCTTGAATTGTTCCTATGTTGATAATCCCCTGGGTAACTTACCTGGGTGACTTCCCCTGGGTGACTTCCCCTGGGTGACTTACCTGTGTGACTTCCCCTGGGTGACTTCCCCTGGGTGACTTCCCTTGGGTGACTTACCTGGGTGACTTCCCCTGGGTGACAATCCCCTGGGTGACATCATTTGTGCTCTCCATGCAGTTCCAGAGAGAGGGGAGGAAGTGGAGGGCTTGGCAAGGTCACCAATGCGTTCCCTGTATGTTCACTTCTTGTGCATAGCACGGGATATCGAGTCCAAAAACATTTGCACAGCTAACACGTCATTGATTCACTGGATTAGTTTTAACCAGAAACCAGGTATGCAGGCAACCAACCTGTTTGAAAGACAATGTGTCAATCAGGTGAGGAGTGAATTTCAGTACAAAACTCGAAAGTGTTCTGAGCTATCAGGCGAGGCAGTTTTGAACTCCTTTATACTTGTAAGTCTTGGTGTTGAAAATAACCCTGTCGTCTCCAGTAGAAGCCAGCACTTCTCATTGTTGCATCGGAGCCGTGCTGAGGAGGTCAGGGTGGCTGGAGTTTTAAGAAGTATTAGGACAGCAGCTGTGCTAGTTTGGAAATAATCCAAAGGATTAATTTCATTTGTTGCCACGGAGCACAGTGGAAGAGGAATCAGATAGTCGTTCACATTTGCAAATCTTTCTGTCATGTAGCAGACTGGAAAGGAGATGAGCTGCTGGAGAAATAGGCCATCCAGCCAACTTTGCAACAGTTTTCAGGAAGCCAAGTGAGCACTTCTAAGTCAGCGTCTTGCTGGTTTCTCTTAGGGAAAAGAAATCCTGTTGTTCTCCTGAATGTTCGCTTTTAATGCTCTTTCTTCATTTTAGATATTGCTTGGATGACCAAAAGGCTTTAGAAAGAGATGGGGGATTTTCCGAACTTCAGTCTCGTCTTATTCCTTATGAGACCCAGACCACCTGCACTAGAGACAGTTTTCCAGTCCCCACTGTGTTGAGTCCTCTCCCGTCCCCTGCTGTTTTGTCTGAGCCTCGGAGTGTCCCCGACGGAGAAGCACTACAAAGCGAACTCCGAACTGAAGTTCCTGGATTGAAAAGGAGATCTAAGGATCCAAGCTGCCATTACCCCCAGAAAAGGTGACTCCGTCGAGTACACAGAAATAGTATCTCCAGAGAAGTGTTTTCACTCTCTGGAGGGTTGCTTTTCACATTTGCCTTCTATTTTTCTGCTGCTTTCTTTCTGCATAGTTTTTAGATTGATTCCTTTGTACTAGGAAGTTCATTTGGATTTTGAGAACTTTACGTGTTTTGCTTGTAAGGTATAAAAAGAAATGACTTGGAAAAAAAGAACTCTGGCTTTCTATGCTAATGCACAGTCCGTGGGCACAATGGGGCTATGAAACCATTAAGTCAAGAACAGTAGCGATGCCATCAGTAGGTGAAGGGCTCAGCTGCACTGTTGAAGATGGCATTTGAGAGTGGATGTTCTTAATTCTGTCTGCCCTCTGTCTTGCTTGCATTGGCCCTCAAGCAGGGGCTCAACAGGCTCCCATTTAAAGACCGATTGTTACATGAGAACATAGCTTTAAAGCATACATAGTTAGTTCATTTATGGAACTTTTCAAGATACTTTTTTTTGCAAGCTAAATAATCCAGAAATATTAGAATTTAGATGTTGATAAAAATAAATACTGAATTTATAAATCTTTAGGCCAGATGTCAGATTTAGGCCCTTGACATATAAAATACACCATAAATTCTGGCTATATTTAAACCTTTAAAACTAACTATAAAATATCTAGAAATAAAACTTTCAAGATTTCTTGAACAGGTGAAAATATGAGAACACTATCATCTCCCGCTATGGAATAGCTAAATGATTTTTATGGGAACTTTGTTAGTTCATGGCATTTTTTATGTCTGATTGAGTTGCAAAGCAAAATCATTAAAAAAATTTATAATCAGAAAAGTCCAGTGTGTCCTGAGAGGAGCAGAAGGAATGGCTTTACTGCCTGCTTTGAAAAAGGAAAACATTTCCAAGTCACCGTGAAAGCAAATATAAATGTTTTAGAAAACAAATAAAAGCCATGCTTTGTTGTATTTATTTTCATTACTTATTTTGCACAGACAGTTGCAGAGATATTATTGCACAGAGGTTTATGGTTTCTTTCTTCAAATTCCTTAATGAAAATATGAGTGCATAATAGGGTATTAAGTGTATAAATGGAGGGCGTCCTCATGTTGCTTATTGCTTTCCACGTTAGCTACCATTCTAGTTATCACTTGCCTTCTGTTTTAATTACTGCTCTGGTTATTTTGTTGTTGTTGTTGTTGCTCTGATAAAGTACCCCGAGAAAAGCAAAGTAAAAGAGAAAAGTCTTCTTCCAGCTCACAGCTGAGGGCTACTACTGTCCTTCATGGTAGGGGAAGTCACAGTGGTAAAAGCTTGAAGCAGTTGCTCATATCCTGTCCACAGTTGTAAGCAGAGAGCAATGAATGCACCACGAAGCTCAGCCCCCTTACACAGTCCAGCATCCCCTGGACAGGGAGTGACCCGCCCATGTTAGGATGAGTCTGTGCAGGCAATCAGTGCAGTCAGGATACCCCCCCCCCCCGCCCCACTCCAGGGCATGCTCAGAGGCCGTCTCAGGCAAGTCCAGCCTCTGTCAAGGTGACAACACTATCACAGTGAATAATTGGCAGAACTAAAGCAACCGCTTCAGTGTTCAGTGTCAGTTATTCAATGCAAATTAGCAAGAGAATGTAGTTTTCTTGAATTTCTGTTTGAATGAAAACAGTTGTAACATTTAAAGCCAAAAAGAAACGCCATTGTTGATTCATTTTTACTTTCCCCCTCCTTACAGACTTACAAAATCAGAAAGTTCTGATTGTCTGCTGTCTCAAACAAGTTGCAGCGGTAGTCATTACCGTCCCATGAGGCCATCCAGAAAGCCGCAGCCCGAGCGACCTGTGTCATTGCTTCCACTTCCTCATCGCGAAGCTTCCAAAGTCACCGCAAAGGCCAGTTCAGGACAAAAAAGTGCACATGCGTCCAAACCATCAAAGCAGATTAAGGAATCGCGGTCACAGAAACATACCCGGGTAAAGACTTCCCACTCTCTCTGCTCTGCATGGAAAGAACTTTCGTTATGTGAATCTGAAGAATGAAATAACATGCAGAATTTAAAAGAATCTGATGCATTGATAAAGGCCAGAGCTCAGCAGTAGAGCACTTGCCCAGGATATGTGAAGCCTTAAGTTTGATTTTCAGTATGGCTGGAAAGGAAGGTGGATGGTGAGAAAGGGCTATCAGTGACACGCAGTAGACAGAAGTTGATTACTTATTATAAAAGTTGGCATGTCAGTGCATCAAAACAGCAACACTTAAAAGAATCCTCTGATTTCTATGTTTGCAATTTTTCTTACAAAGAAAATTTCCCTGCTGCAGATAAAGTGACTTTCGGGTTTTAGGTCACGGCTCATGATTTCAGTTCCTTTTCACCAGTTACTTCCTCTAGGCGTTTCCTGCTGAACATGAATCCCGTGGCGTGGATGACCGCGTAGATGTCACAGGCATCTTCTGTCTCCACCAGGTTGCCACACACAGTTATCTTAAGTACAGGCAGATGACTCTAATCGACAGTTTGTTGGTGAGATAGTTGCACCCTTTTCGAGGGGTATCAGCCACGTGTTCCTTTCTGTTGAAGATGCTGAAAGAAGTGGTCAAGGACACCCTGAAGAGGCACCGCATCCCCGAGGCCCACGAGTGCTTCTCTGCATGCAGCCAGAGACTCTTCGACATCTCCAAGTTCTACCTAAAGGTGGGTGTCTTCTCTGTCCATGGTGTGATGGGGGCGCTCCTTCTGTGTATGTGCTTGTCCTATTGGTTGATAAGTAAATCACTGTTGGCCAATAGGAAAGCAAGTTAGGTGGGACTGGGAAGATTCTGGGAAATGTAGGAAAGAGACAGAGCCACCATGTGTTCCCGTGAAGAGAGGACACATGCCGCCAGCGTCCTTGATAAGTCTTTATAAAATATATAGGTTAATGATTATGGTTGATACTTAAGACAGAGCTAGCAAATAAGAAA